ACAAGAGCAGGTACTGACATTTTTAGACGAAATTAAAAAATTTCAAATCGTTCTAAAAAAAATATTGTCGATTGCGGGGGTCGATTGCGATCATTTTTGGTGAATAGACATACCCCCAAAATCTCACTCACTTTCGAGAAAAAAATTAATTACTGAAAATGTCTGACCAGGCGTTGACCTCTTCCCCTGAAATTTTTCGGCGAAATTTAAAAGCTTCGAATCGTTCTAAAAAAAATATTTTCGGTTGCGAGGGTCAATTAGAATCATTTTTGGTCAATAGACATACCTCCGAAATCCTACCCAGATTCGAGAAAAAAATTCGAGAAGGTGTGAAATTTTGGCCAAAATTAAAAAATTTCAAATCGTTCCAAAAAAATTATTTTCAATTGCAGGGGTTAATTACAATCGTTTTTAGTCATTAGACGTATCCTCGAATTTCTACCCACTTTTGAGAAAAAAATTCTTTACTGAAAATAAACCGTGTATGTTCTAAGCTCGATGCAATTTTTTTACTGCTCAAACTATATTCCACTCGTAAGTCTAAGGGTGGAAGATCTTTTGTACAAAGTTACGTGGAACGTTGCCAACGTTGCCGTAAAATTGTATCGAGTTGATAAAAAGGCAATTGGTTTTGGCAGGAGTTTGAACCTTCGAGGACGAATCAATTTGTTAATTCTTTCTTTCTTCCTTGGACACCATCGAATATCTTCTTAATTCTATCAGATAAATACGAAAACATGTATAGTATTCTAACAAGTATCATCAAGGCTCTCAAAAGATTAAATCTTAATACTTTCCAAGACTCGAAGATGATTATAGTCTGAAGATTACTCGAAACTCCACGCAAAGGCCTTTTTAAAATCCTAGCATTCCCAATCATTTCTCTCTAAATTATTTTTTTTATTAAATAATTCATTGTTTCAAATTGTTATTCGTAGTTTCGTTTGAAACAAAACTGGTTCACGCGTGGTCGATACGGGACTGTAATTCTTTGGATTAGTTACCCCGATAATAGCACAAATTTTCAGTCCTGATTTCGCGCTGTGCTCGAGGTTCTACTTGTGTACCTTTTAGCGATGGTCGCCAGTAGTGTTAAATTACACCATATCTGTACATAAACGGTATTCACTGACACGTTGGTGCAATAATGGCGGCTTAGCTACGCGATGGACCCTTCGACGACGTAATTTCCAGCGTAGTGCAACCACCGACCGATCGAAATTCGCCATAATCTGACAATTGGCTCACCGCGGCTGGGACGTTCGCGGGTACTCGTAAAAGCTTTCGAACAGGCCATGCGAATCTGAATTAGTTTCTCGATTTAATACAGAATACTTCAGAGGACAGTTTACATACATTTTTATACCTTATTTGTTCTGTGCAATTACTTTCGAAAAGAGTTTTACTTTATAAACACACGATACAATTCTCTTTCGATGTATGTCAACTAATTCTGTATTAATTCATCTTTAAATATTTTTCGTTTTCGTTAGCGTTTTATCGTGTTAGGCAGTTTTCGTATCGAGCACCACGTTTCTCACATTCAACCAACCCCCCAGAGGGGAGGATAATGGCGGCTAAACCGACTTCTAGGCTGGTGACGGTCCCGGTTATGGTCGATCCTTGAACTCTATCAGAGCACAGGATAACAGGACCGAATCTGCCTCGTTTCCATCCTTCTCTGTCCCCCAATATTCCAGGATTTTCGACGAATTCCAGGGATTCATGAACGCTGCACGGCCATTGTGAAACCGGTCCCTAGTTTGTAGATGCGTCTTATCGGCTTACCTTCATCGATTAGCTACTTCTTTTCCTCCTACAGGATCTCTTTCCGCGAGCAACAGTTAAATCACCACAGTTTTTTTAGTAAATCTTGTTACTAACTTTGCAAACCAACCCTGTGTTTTATTTAACCCTAGGAATTTGTTTCAAGCAGAAAAACTATACAATGCAATTTTAAACAAAATAAGATTACATCAGCAAAATCAAAATAAAATTCCATTAATTGGCACTAGCAGAATGTAAACGAAACGCAGAGGGGAGTTAAGCAAAGAATAATTGTTTGAATGAAACGTGAGAAAGGTTGGAAATAGGATCGTCCATTTAAAAATTATTTCGCTTTTCCCGTCGTGATAAAGTATCATAGTTTTCTCTTCCCGCGGCTGCATTCGTTTAAGTTAATTGATGCATTATACTGGGCTGCAACTGTTGGATGATTTATGATTCGTATTACGCGTATTATTTTTTTGCCAGCGTCCGAGACGTTGATGAAAACAGCCATCGTATAATACGAGTTTCCAGGTGTAATGGTCTCACTTTTCTTCGGTAACAAAACGCCCGGGACGTTTTGAAATATGGCCGCCACCTTATTAAAGGGTAAATCCAACGGGGCCCCCTCCCAAACCCTTCCTATCATTGTCGATGTACCGTTATGCAGAATGCTCGGTAACAATGTCGTAATAAATGGCAGAAACGTGAGAAACGTCTGATAAAACGCGGAACGTCGCCTTCGATATAAACTGCAAATCGGCGGGAAGCAAAGAGAAAAGTTTCGGGGACCAGGAAACTTCCATAACTAGCCAGACTTTATGCGAGCACATAATTCGAACGGAAAGAGTTTGCGTTTCGTTCGTCGAACTCTTTCTTTAAGTAGTAGTAGCGAGCCATAGATCTTTGCATATTTTATTAACAGTTAAATTAATAAAGATTTTTTATTAAATTATAAATTTGACTGCAAAAGGTCTCATAAAAAATTGCCCAAGAAAGCTTGAAAAAGGCTCGTTTCATACTAGAAGGCCCCCTTAAATTATTTGTTGATAATCTAAAGATAAAAATGATGACTTTGTTCTGAATTGGGGGTAAGAAGTTGCACAATGTGAGGTTCAGGTTGTTTCGAATTCCGGGGCAAATAGGCCACCGGGTACATAGGACGTCCTTCCAACGAAAGTGATTAAACTGGTAGCACTATGTTTATGTATGCTTGTACCAAAAGTTTGCACAGCACGGGGAAATACGCGGAAGCTTATAAAACGAGCTGGTAATAATAAACTCGTAAATTGTTACTCTCGTACATAAGTAAACTATGAAGCTTGAGCAGTATCGTTTGTCATACACAAGGTTCCCCCTAATGAAACTGCCGTTTCCGAGGCCCTTTGTTTCCACTTTTATTACGGTAAAAATAATCGAAATCGACTTTTTAATAATCATTCGAGTGTACCTCGTTCCAGGATGTCTTTGGGTGCATCGAACGGTACGCTACTGCGTGACCGGAACTCGATTACGCATTCTTCTAAATACGGAATGAGAAGCCGTTATGTTTTCTTGTCATACCGACGTCTATGCCACTCGATACTCATCAGTATACAGGCAACTCGGACTCAAAACCATTTTTTTATCCAACACGACCATCGTCAGGCACATTTCACTCGAAATAAAATAACAAATCCGTTTCTACTTTTCCAAAATTTTACTTTATGAAATAAAAGTTTCGGCTTTCGTAACCGGAGGATCCTATTTTTGTGGGATCCTTTGAGTCTTGCAACTATGTGGAAAACCTTTAAACGACGAAGTAAGTAGTTTCACAGCGGTTTTGCGTCCGCCCGATTCTCATTTAATTGGGGTTATGCAAATTCATTCATTATGCAAAGTCTCAAGTTTTCTTACGTTCCTCGCTCGTTCCTCGTTAAATCTCCAACACAGTTTTGATCGTCACTGAGAAAATATCTTAAGAAAGTATCGATTACGTAACGTTCTGCGTCCGCCTCCTAATTTTCCTCGCCTGGGAATAAAAATACCTTGTTTAAACTGACAAATATGAACTTTCAGTATGTTACAATTTTATGCGATTAAAAATGGCTGTAGGATCGAATAAACCCTACCGAAAGCAAAATGGAGGCACGCTTAGCCTCGACGAGTATCGTTGTAGACTCATTAATTAAGACAATCCGACGAATAGGAGTCTGGATACGCGACAGGAAAATAATTAATGCGAGTAATGAACGCTCGAGCAGCAGGAACAGTGAGCGAATTCATTAGGAACAAAAGAATTTACGCTCGAAGAATTCTGTACAGATATCGATGATAACTGAAATACGTATCAGACGGTACAATGCGGTGCAAACCATTGTTGTCGAGAATATCTCGTCTCTCCGATTGTCTTAAGAATCTTATGCGTCGCCATTGTTGATGCAAAAATCTTTCCAAAAGTATCGAAATAATAAGTTTGTTCTTTATTGCTTGTTGTAGCTCGACCAGTTCCTCGCACTGTGTTAATTTCGTTTTAGCAAAATCTCTTATCGGGGAAAGAAAGGAAATTTCAAATTAATCTTCAATTTGAAAACGTGAAATTTAATATTGTAGAGACGGGGAATAATAACGAGGTTGCTGCTAATAAAAAGCAGTCTGACAACGCTGGGCACAAAGAAAATGACGCCATTGCACTTGAGCCAGAGTGTACAAAGCGAAGGAACAGTGATGGCACAGAATGGAAGTACTGTCGAAGAAAATTGTGACCCTTGGAACCGAAGAAAAAGGTGGAAAAGTAGTGTAGAATTAAGGAATGGAGGGGAAATTTATGATAGTCCTCGTCCAATAGTCGTTCGGAGCAATTCGTGCAAGATTGGAGCTCCCAGTCTGTTCCCTAAAGGTGCAAACGCATCCATAATCCACGCCTTTTGTCATCGGAATCGTCTCTGATATACAGGACGTTTCAAAATAACGGGACAAACCGACACAGACAGATTCTCCGTATAAAAAGAGATCAAAAAGCCCTTTATCATTTTGCAATTCGAGGCTTGGTTACCAAGGTACGAGCAGTTAAAGTTTTTGCGTAGGCGTGCAGGCACTTTTAGTGCATTAACTGCTCGTATCTTTATAAATAAACCTCGAATGGCAAAATTGTAAAGGACTTTTCCATTCGATTTTTCGCGAATATTATAACTATTAAAAATCGAAATTTTACAGCATGTTCCTAATCTCTAATTATTGTCTTCTCTTTCCAGAACGAAGCGCGAGGGAGTTACCCTGTACAACATGAGGTAACGTAACAATTCTAATTCAATACTTTTGACAAACAAGTAGTTCGTTTACTTTAAACCGAGGACTGATCGATTCCGTTTTCCATAACGATTTATAAGCAATTTCGTGTGATCAAAACCACTCACACTTTCCGATTTTTCCGTAATCAGGATTGCCCTGCGAATTTAATTAATCGCTTTCCCTTTGACATTTAATCTGTCGTTACGGGCACGCGAAATTTTCCCAAACGAACAGCCCGTCATAAAATTTCGTAATTGAATTTCCAGAGCATTCGTTAATGCTCTGACAGTTTATTCGCGATGACTGCTTGCATAGAATAACAGACAACGCCAGAAGTAAAAGATAACAGAAACAGAAAAATAAATTATAGCGTATTTACTAAGTTAGTGGGTAGAATTATATTAAGAATAATCTTCTAAAGCAATTTATTCTTTTTTACCCTCGCTGGTGTTCCAATTAACCAGATATCAACGAGCATATATTTTTTTGGGAATCTTCGATAAAATTCTTTCCTATTTTTTTACAAAATTCCTGGACAGTTTGATTTAAAGCTTTTGCTGCGCAAATAGTTTATCCCACTCGCATGCACACATAGTTCACGTACCAAACGTAAAATTCAATGCTTTGAAACGCGACCCATTTTCAAACGCAAGAAAGGGTTTGTTCGATAAAACTCTGTTTTGTTTAACTCGTCAGTGGAATATCGATCGTTTGCGTTAGCTGGAATTGTTATGGCGCCCCTTAAAGATGACTCAATTTAAAATATATAAAGTAGTGCTTTCAATTTTTGTTTGTTTCGCGATCTAATTCGTGGGATGTTAAATTATTGTAGCAGAAATGTTTAAATAACGTTTCTGACGATTCGTAGACACGTTAAATGGTGGGAGTTTTCGATCGAGCTTGAATATTGAGGGGCCATCCCTCTTTTCCTCGAGTTCGCGATAAAGGGAATGCAATTTTCATCCATATTCTCAGAAGAGGAATGTCTTATAATGAAAAATTCCCATTCGCAGTTATCATTCGCGTTGAACGTCGTTATATGAGGAAGCTGCCGCTTTCACCAGCGCTTTTCGTAATGTAGCTGCGTTATACAACTAGAATATTTCCATCGAAAAATAATGAGTAGAGTCGCGTTTGACAATGGCGTATCGCGTTAAAAATTCCGTTGGATTCCTTGATAATGAAGTCTAGTAACGATCCACCGATGATTTCAACCGTAACTCGTTAAATATTCCTACGTTTCCGATACTTGGGCAATAATAATTTCAGTTTTTACGAATAAATTAAATTAATTTTAGAAAATAAATGGAAAAGTATTTTACTACAGAGGCTTCGTTATCGAGATACGAGCTGTTTAAATTTTGGCGCGCGTGACGCTGACTGGGATAAAAATGGCGGGCCCCAGGCATTGCACCAAACAATTTTAGCGACTTGTGTCTCGAAAACGGAACCTCCAATCGTGAACTGGTAAAGGACAGTTAGATTTCTTTTTGTTCGAGAAACAAAATAACAAAAGGTAACAACACTTTTTCAAGTGTTTTTTTTTCGGTTTACAAGGAAGAAATTGAGCGTTTAATATTCGCGTTGATGAATCGATACGGTGGAAATTTACACAAGTCGTTAATTCCCGCGAAATAATATAGAAACGATCGCCGGGGAGCGCGTCCGCAAAAAGCAACGTTCATTGTTTGGCATCGCGATTTTAATATCCTCTCGAGTGCTAATGAAAAGCGTACCGTTCGATTTAACGAATACGTTACGAAATCGTTGTATCGTATTGAGCAAATAAAAGGTAAACGCCGGGCAGGTAGAGGTAGATATTTATCGCTTTATTTTTCTGCGAAACTTGGAAATATTTGCGGATCGCTGACGCGTATCTCATCGGCTGTTTTTCTCATTCGTTTATACGATTCTCGCAGTATCACGTGCAAACACGGCCACGAAAATGTTTTGTCCGCGTGTTGACTTCCAATGATATCTTTCGCCCTCATTCTTCGTTCATTCGTTCCGTTTCCCTCGTATTCCTGACACTTATTCCGCGTTGTTGAACAAATCATTTTACTCGGCTGCGCCCACTCTTGCCTCCCGTGTACCGTTAAATTCTCATTTCTTACAATTTCATTGAACTTTTAAATTGCTACTTGGCTACTCCCCACTCTCTAAAACTTCTTTATTTAAATTGTTGTGCCGCTTGTTCCGCCTCGCGTCGAAATATACCGACACTGCACTAACGGCATTAGGAGATCCGATTAATTTACGCGAAATGTCACCAAAGGACGTCACGCTTTGATCAGCGTGCATTTAAATAATTATAGAACGAAAACTTTGTTGCTAGCGATATCCCAGCGTCGGTGGAATTCATTAGATTGGCACAACCAGTATGTTGGTACTTTTAAATAAAATGTTTCGGATAGTTTCTTGCGATAGATTAAATAGATCCAACGTTTGGGCCAAAAGCTAATAACTATCGGCTCGAGGAGTGTCATCGTCGTTGTTCTCGCCTTGGTCGCCTCTTGTAATGCATCGTAAAGGGTTCAGGAGTGCAAGTACGGTCGAAGGTTGTTGCACGGAAAAGTTTTGCAATAACGCACAATGAGTCTCGGGTAGTTTGGCGCATTGTTAAAGCGGCTAACCCTGTCGCAACTTTCCTTCCACGCTAACAAAAGAGTTAGAGAAAGGGAGCGTGGAGGGCTGGTTAGGGCGAATGGAGTGGCCGAGGGATACAAGCGAGAAGAAAAACGAGAAAAAACGCGGAGAGGAAGATGGCTATTCCGTGTAGGATTCAATATTTCACACGCGTACCACGACCAGCCAATAAAGTCGTGCTCGATGTAAAAGCAACGGTTGCTTCGTTTCTAATACAATGAACCATCGGCGACGGGGATAATTAATATTCGTTTTGCAGCGAAGCAATTGGAATTTTATGAGAAACAGTGAACACCTCTTCTTTGTTCGATTTTGTATTAATCGTTGAGTAGATTATTGGAACAAATTTAAATTAATATTGATTATTTGAAAATTTCAGTTTAAAAGCCATTTTCAAATTGTTTGTTAATAAATAGGGATTGAATGAAACTTTGGTGAACGAATGTAATTATTGAAGTTTTAACGTATAAATTGAGTGTTTGGGGGGCAACAATGGCGAATGTTTGCTGGACCAGGATGATTTGAGGCGTTGGGGAGCTCCGGTGCGCGATACCAGATCGATATCGTTGTTTCTCAAGACCTCGACATGTGATCCCCGTTATGGTCGTCGTCACCGTGGCTGTCGTTCTTCGGTTCGTCGACGATGTTGTTGTCGAGAGAGATAAAGAACGTAACCTCGCGGCAATAGCGTCGATCGACGACACCGGGGGGGATCCTTGAGGGAAATGGGATGTTCTATGAATGGAATCTCGAGATCACGTGACCGGAAATTAAAAGAAAAAAAATAGTTGGCGACGAAACAGTTCCTAGAATTTCTAAAGAAACTAGATTCGCGATTTGGACGTGAATATTAATAGGGAGCATCGAGTTTCTAACTGTGAATGAATTTTTTTATTTTTTTTCGTAATTCAGAGTTCTGTTATGGTGGACTTTTTCCCCGAATTTTAAGGGGGTGATTCTCGTGCAACTCGAGTGGAGAATGGGCCGAAAACATAAGGCCCACTCTGTCTGGTGGAGGCAATCAGGTTCCACTGCCTAATGCTCGCAGAACCGGTGATATTCGACGCTTTGTCCGATCCTCTTCGATCGCGACGTTGGAATTCGCCCCCCTGTCCCGCCACCTCCCCCGCCACTCGTCGATTTTGCACGCACGAATTTAATCTGCAGAGAATTTCCGGCATGTGCACGCGTACCTGTATTCCACGGACGAATGCCTATATCAGATATCGCGAATGCACATTTGAAACGACGAGCACAGTGGACCCGATTACGGCGTTTGATCGCCGACGTACCCTTTGAAGCTATTCGATCAAAATACAATTATCCGTCTCTCGTTAGCGACGATACGTCCTCGCGTCCAGATTCGTCGCGACTAAAGCCTCCGATCTGATTAAAGCCTACAGCGATTTATCGAAAAAAGTCCAGCGAACTCCCAGGATCGGGTCTAAACAACTCCCAAGTTCGCGATCTACGATTTTATCTAAAAGAACACTTTTATTTAGGATTAGAAAGATCAGTTAGTTCACGGTATTGTTCGTAATAATCGTGAAACCGAAGGAATAATAAAGGTATTTAGGCTCTCTATTGGGAGAAGAAGAGTTTTTCGAAAGGAGGAGGAGACTGTTCTAAACAGCAACCGTGGAGCATGCGAGGCGCTCAATTAAGCTGGCCGAAATGAAACTTCGCTAATTAACAGGCGACGGTGGTTGGCCAGCCACTCGTATCATTCTTCGCGGCCACGAAATTCGAACCTAAACCAGACGCGAACTAAACCACAGAATAATTAACACTATTTCGACAAAATGTGTCAAAAGTCGTCTTTTAACATTCATGGATAGGAAAAAAGGTCGTGATGGAATTGTATCGTTAATTTAGACAGCATAGCTTTCATTTATACCGGGTAATCGTAAAGTAGATTAGCTGTTATCAGTAGCGTCTCCTTTCCTTTTCTTCGCCAGTTTCTGCGCGGAAAAGGATCGGTAAATTTGGTCGCGTGGCAGGAAAACTGAGTCGAAATAGTCTCGAAGGAGTTGCCTTTGCTTTGTCGCGATTCAACAAAGTCCCAGGATCGTGTACGTACGAGATTTTGTGAACATCGAGTTCGATTGTTACCCGTTAGAAGCGACACGGCTGGGATAGAATTACGATCGACACTGCGTGGAAATAAATCATATTGTATTTTTGAGCAAGCGCATCCTTCCGGCTTTGGAACGGCCATTTTCTGGAAAATGCGACGCTGTAAAAACGGATGGCCCGCGTTCAAATTTTATTGCGTGACACGTGTACCGTATATCGCGTGCACGCTTGATGGGTCACCCTCTCTTTCCTTTTTTTTTTAGTTCTAAAGCACAGATTCGACATGATTTATAAACACATTTCGTACGCCAGATGTTATGGCAGAGAGGAATATGTTTTATCGGGACTGGGACGTCCAACCATTTGTCGTTTATCGTATCATTTTGTCCGCGGGGATATTCCGATCTAGAAATCAATTTTTAACGTATTCTTTAAAAGAATAAGATGTGAGCTGGTCAAGTTATTTCGTCCATCCTGTATAACACAGAGATTCTCGGGGCAGCATAATAAACTCGGCTCCCTGCTAGGAAGGAGTTAAGTCCACTTTTAATACTACTTTAATGACTTTCTGAAGCGTGTGGTAAAAAGACACGACTGCCGGGGAATCTTAAAAGCGAACTGGTGCTCTTAATGGAAACTCAAGACAATTATGCTAGTAATACCCGGTGTGCTCGTCTGTTTCCTCTTATTACGCGCGACATCTGTCGCGAGCTTGAAACAAACCGATTATGGTAATTACATCGAGCCACAGTCGGCACTTTATTGCGCCGGATCAGATTTTTGATTAACTAATTATCAAGTTTGTAATTTCCGACGGAGCGTCTCTTCGTTTCCGATATAATTTTTCACACGTTTCCAGCCCCCGCTGACGAACTGTTAATTAGTCGGCGAAGGTTTAGCGTCGAAAGCTGCTATCTATCACTGTTCACAGTCGCGCGAGCGCAAACAATGCTCGAAGCCACCGTGAAAGGAGCGATTTTTACGGTGCACCGAATTGGTGGGTCTGTCGATTGTGATTTACGATGGTTCCGTACAGGAAATAGTCACTTCGTCAGGTTCGTCGTTCGATGGCCTCTTCGTCAGGACGATGCATCCTGGTGGGGAGTTCGGTTGGCCGACTCTATTCGATTATCCTGATAAAGTCGTTGATAAAGTCGATCCTTCCTTCAACCGGGGCCACGAATCGCTCTTTGCTCGGACGCTGATTAATGCAACCCAGCCACGGTTCAACGAGAACCGAATTATCGTCGGGACTAACAGAGTAGTTGGATTACCAACGCGAAAATATACTAATCCGATTATTAACTGTCGCTGGCTCGCGTATTTGCATCGTTCTTCCCCTCCGTTCGCCATTTACTTTTTACCCATTTATTCTCCACGACAAATAAGTTTATTTATAACTACTCTCGAGTCGAAAATCAGGAAATCCTGCCCAAACTGCCAGGCAATTTTTAAAGATAGATTAAAGGTAGCCAGTCTCTAAATTTTTTGGCGGGAAAAAAAATTTTATTCGACATTGCTCTAGTCCTTAGTAATTCGGATAATCGGAATTTCGCAGTAATAATAAAAGAAAATGACGCCCATTCGGTAAAAAGGCAGTCGAGCTACTTCTTTTCTCCTCGTCGGCCCTCGAGCCTACGATTTTAATGCTGAAAAGCACCTTTCGGCTCGCGCAGCCCACGGAAATTACAGCGTGTACCTAACCTCGCGTCTGCAAACAAGGCAGAGCACATAATCGAGACTAAATTATGCCAGGCTCTTTTCCGGTGTCGTTCAGACTCTGAAAAGAATCAACATTCAGAGTGGCAGCTGAAGCAACTCGTTCCGCTTCGGTTTATACTCGTCCGCGAAACTCCGCGACGTGAATCGCGACGACTATGCACCGCGATTATACCTAACGTTTCTGCCTGTGTGCGTATACAGGGTGTTCCTGAAACTTGGGCGGTCTGGAAAGCCACCCACACCGATGTTCCTTAAGCAACACTAGCTTTTCGTACCTATCTCCCGGAAACAGGAAGTTACCGCATGATAGAACCAACCTGAAAGGAGAAGTTATTCGCGCGCGCAACTTACTTTATATACTGGGTGTTGCCTCAAACTGGAACACTTCCACGTGTGTTATTAAACTTATAGAAACAATATTCTTACGATAATTGTCATTATTTTTGCAGATGGTTGGGATAGATTTTAAAGTCAGATTACTTTTCTTTAACGAAGCTGTGTCTTCTGATTTATTTGTGACGTTTCGTCGACTGGGAATCACTTTCGTTAGGGTGAAAACAGTAAATGACCAAGCGTTAATTAGTCGACGCTGAACTTAATGGTTACATTAGCACCGGCACACAAGAGAGCATATTTAGTAATCGATGTCACTTGGACTTCGATGTAATGGCGGTGTTCCATCGCGATATGACTAAACTAACTTCCCTGCTAGGTAGACATGTTTAATAAGGCCCGAGCTAATTGCATCAACTATTAACGTTGCAGTTACCCGGACAACGGGAATTGCATTTGTGTCACGTCAGTCGAACTTCTGCCCACACCTAAATCATTCATCAGACAAGCGGGAACAGCGCCGAACCGTATCAATTATCTATTCCAAGCGATTGACAATGTTTAACTATCGGGATTCGTTTGATGTTGCTCGCGAAACGTTATTGATTCGATATAATATAAGAGACGATTCGTTTTATCGATCTCGAACGAGTTATTTTTAAAGTGAACGTAATTATGTATTTTGTAAATAGACCGCGGATATTTATGCGTTTATGGGATATTTAAATTTTTAAAAAACCTTTGATTAATTTAATTAATGAAAATATGAGTTCGTATATGAGATCCACTTGTGAAATATAAAATTAAAATTGAAAACTTTTGAGAGAACCGGTGTATGCAGGGACGATGGAGTAACGTGGCTAAGTCTGTGCATGTAAACCGAGACGAAGGTATGAAAAACACGCACGCACGCCGGTGATAGAAATCTTGCGTCGTCAATTAGGGGTCGACTAAACGTTTAAATGCAAACGTGTGCTCCGATTGAAGAGGGCGCATAAATTGTCACGTGTTAATTACATCGCCCGCGATTGCATTAGTGTTGCTGCACACGAGAGGCGAGAGACTTGCACGTTTGCATGCTGGCAATGAGAGGCGTATAGTAATTGCGCGTTCTGGCCGTAGAGTACCTCGATCGTGGAACGAATGTCTCAATATAGCTCGAGTAATTGCTCAACGCTATTTCCACCCCGGCTTTATGCATACCTATTTCGACCTTAAAGGTGTCTCTCGACGCCTTCGCGTTCGAAAATAATTCTTGACGCGAATTATTTTTAAAACGATTAAATTTCGAACAGAATTTCGGAAGTTAAAGTTTCAAAACCGCGTGAAAACGAATGAAATTGTAAACAACAGGAGGGCCTATAACACGGCACCTGTTAATTACACCGTCGTGTTTAAGCAGAATTAATTCCGAGACAGCGCTCCGAGAGGGTGTCTGGCGACACTGAGCACGTTTCACCATAAGTAACTACCGTGCTATACGGACACCTCGGCGTTGATTGCATAAATTATTAACTGTTACTGTTGCTAGGCTAACGCAAGATTGCTCAGACCTCGACTACGCATGGTGCTCTCGAGACGAACTCTGAAACTTTAGAGTTGTTGAAATCACGAGGAACCCTTTAATATCGTAAAATTAAACACTGTACAAAAGTCTATTTTCCAAGTTAGAGAAAAGATGTTTCGGGCGATAAAGTTATGCGTGAGAGCCCGTTTGAAATACGAAACGAATCGAGGGTATGGAGGTACGAGGGAACGTTAATCCGTATCATGAAATTATTGGCGCAAGGCAGGAAATGAGGCACGGTATCTACTAGCATGATAATGAGAGACAGTCCACCCTAGTGCAGTTTATCGCGACGCTGTAAACGTTAAATCTATTCTGGATTCTCCTTTGTATGGCGGCGTAAATGTAGCAACCGTATAGAGTGGCAACTAATGAACGCGCGTCTATTTATCGGCTCTACCCTGATAAATTTGAACGGTGGGGTGTTTCGATAGCTGTTATGTGCCCATTACGTTCGCACGCGACTTAATGACAAACGTCGTTTGTCGCCTCCGATGGCACCCTGCACGCCTACCATTGTTTTCCTTCCGACAATAACATGGTCGTTTTACGGGTATTAATTAATTACTGCTAAACAAGAAACTCGATCATCGGGGCAATAAAGCATCGTCGAATTTCGATTCCAAATAAACAATCGTCGAATTTATGCTCTATGCACTTTCCAATTTATTGAGGCTATTCCCAGAGACCGTTCGACGCAAAGTATTGTTTATAATTATGGATCGATAATACCGAAACTTCGCGTACGTATTATTTGGTCGTGTTTCCAGATAACGCGGTTAAATTTGTCTACTATTATCTTGCATGTAGCCCGCGGTATAATATTTTAAACGCTCCTGCGCACGATTTACGTTCTTTTTTTCTCTCGTGGAAATTTATTTCGAATCGTGCGATCGTCTGTAATCTACTTAGCAATTTCATTAGGTACGAGATACAAGCATACACGTTCGATATATCGGGGAGACGTACTGCGGTGCATGCTATACAAGCACTGATGCCATTGGAATTCACTGACCTCAACATGCATTTTGACAGTGAACGCCGTTCAATGCGGTTATGCTGCGTGCCGTGGTTTCCATTTCGCAATGCCCAGTATTATCGTATGCCGGAATCAAAGCGACCGCAGGCCATCCATCATGGCGATAAAGGCCTGGAAAGTATTAGAAAAAGATAGCCCCGCAGATTACTATGCTCTGCTCCTTTATCGAAGGTTAAAAATTTAAAGAATTGATCATCCTTCGGATCAATTAAATTTTAACACAGGGCATCCGTAGGTATTTGTTTCTATGGTGTTCGAGCTCCGAAATATCTGAAATATTTATTTTCCATAATTTAGTCTCGCAGAGTCGCCAATAGAAACCGCAAACAGCGTTTCAAAGCAACCAGTTAATTAAACTTGGAATCGGATCATAATTCGTAGTCCCTCTCTCTCTCTCTCTGTGTTCTATTCGTACCCTGTCATTGGCAAAACTCAATCAATAATGTTCGTTCTGCTTTCAGATTTCTCAAGAAGCTTACCGCGCTGCTGGTAATTTGTCTTTCGGCCACATGCACCGGTGAGTGTCTTTCAACAATTATATCTTTGCCTCAATAAATCTACAACGATGTAACGTTTACGTTTACGTAATTATTTTTTAGGTTTAATATTAAAAATAACATGTGTTCGGGTTAATTCTAATATCAGAGGTTAAAACAAGTTTGTAGGGACGAAACTGAAAGGAAGGGGGAGGCGTTTCCCTTTCCCTTGCAGGGGAAACAAGAAAGCTTCCATAGAATCGTGTTCCCACTCTTCCTGTTGGTTGTTTCTTTTTTCCACCGTTCCGAGAAAGTCGCCGTATCTCGAGGAAACCGTTGAAACGGTTTTCCAACGGAAAGAGAAATATTTTTTTCTTGTTTGGCCTTGCTTTTCCTTCCCCCCTTTATCCGCGTTTCCCTGCTATATCCGGCCACACCGTCATCCCCGTCTTCTTAATTCCGTTACTTTAGTCATCAGCGTTGGTGTTTGCCTTTCGCGCGAATCTCTTTTCCACTCTTTCTCCGGAGCATTATGTGTTTCTCTGGCATTGGCTCTTTCAGTCGACCCTCCCCCGCACTCTATCTAAGAACCGCCCCCCCCGCGACCGTTCCTGAATCCGTTCGTAATCCAAAATCAACCTACCATACCGAGTTTAATTACGACGGCTTTAATATTTTAAGAAACTCGCGATGCATTCAGGCACGAATGCATTCGCCGGCCATTTTCTCGAGCAACCCAGACGACAACGCCGCGAAACATTGAAATTTTTTAACGGGTTGTTACTTTTTATTCCAATCTTTCCTTTTTCTTGCGTAATTACCCTCTCTTCGACGTTCTTAACCGTCTCTGTTTTAAAGACGTACCGTATGTAAAATTTGTTCTCGTTTTACGGATTGCATGAGTTTGTATTATCCAACGAATCCGTTTTATTCAAAGCATCGCAGAATCGACCACGAAATTATTCGAGTCGCTCGTACATTGAACCGATCGTTGCGTGCTCGTCAAATTTCCATCGGTCATCCGGTTTGCATACTGTCATTTCGCTCCTGAATGTGGCTTCTGCCCAGGAGATTCATTCAGGATCCTGTTAAATACGGCTTCGTCGAGGTAGAGCAACGAGTTTCCGATAATGCCGGATGCAGTCAGCCGTATTACTGGATAATGCGTCGCTCGCTCAATAATACGCGGCATTCGCGTCTGTTCGATCACATTTGATCGCTTGAAACGTCCCCCCCCCCCCCTCCCCATCCATTCCCAATCTTTCTTTTCTTCTACTCCCTTTCATCGGCTTCGTCGCCGTTGGTTCGCGTCTCCGTCACCGTATCCATTTCCGCTTTCTCCCGTTCTCCTGCCCATTATTTCTTCTCCCGTTTCCTGCGTTTCTCTCATTAGATACCCGTAACTCTTTTGTTCGATATACAAGATCGACTCGTTAGTAATTGCCGTTAGAATCAACGCATGGTAGTTCAAATCGCCAAAAACGCGATCTACAGTCTTCTTTTTTCCGTTAAAATTCCACTCTTTATCTTAGAAAAGTCTATTAAAAATAGTAAAACTTTAGACGCGTGTAGTTCCGAAACTACTCAAGCTTTATTCAAAATTCCACCACTGTTAGCAGCGGTGAACCTTCCCCTTTAAAGTGGTTTTTGGTTTTTGTCGATCCGACTTTCCGTTTTCGAGATATCGTAATTTATGTAAAGGGGTAATTTTTTAAAAGCTCCTCTTATGGCGCTTCCCGTGTTACGGCGGACCACTGACGCGTATTAAAAATACTAAAACTTTAGACGCGTGTAGTTCCAAAACTACTAGTGTTTTATTCAAAATCGAGCAATCGTTGGCAGCGGTGAACCTTCCTCTTTGAAATGGCTTTTGGTTTTTGTCGATCGGACTTTCCGTTTTCGAGATATCGTAATTTATGTAAAGTGGTATTTTTCTTAATTCGACTATCGCTGTCTTTGTCTAGCGCGTCGGACCTCTTTGTCGCACGTGCGTGGTGCTGACCTACCCCACGAACGTGACTGTCGTGACCTAGTTTCGAGCGTAGTATTTCCAAGAATTTACTACGCACTGTTTACTATCTACGCGCGCGGGATGAATGAACTCGCGCGAGCGCACCGCGAAATGTAAACAAACGCTTCGAACCCTTATATCTCCGGAACTAGCCACCGCATCGACTTGAAATTAAAATCGCTATATCTCCGGAACTAATTACGCTATCCACTCACACGAACTCTCATTTTAAAGGGCATTTCATCCCCCATCCAAAGACCATAACTACTTTTATAATTTATGCTGTCTTCTATATTTATTTTGGCATTTACTTTGACGCTACATACCTAAAGAAGTTTCAGCCATTCCAATTGATTATAAATTATTTATTTAATTGAAAATGAATTTAAATCAGTATACAGGACTTTTAAAATATTCTATATGTATAATGCAAGCATTAGGAGTACGTTGCTTCGTAAAAGAGAAAATTATTCGACCGGTCGTGGCAGGAATACACGAAGCGTCGGGTAGGTTTAACGTTAAAAAAGTGCCAAAGATTTCGCGTCCAGATCAGGGGTGTCCCGTTAAGTGTAACGAGCGAACTTCCCCACTGCTTGTCACACAGTATGGTGCAGCAGAGCCTAAGCCACGCCTCGTTAGCGTCGTGGAGTCAACCAGCGAAGAAGTGTTCAAAATATGTATGCGCGTGGAAACCGTGGGGAACCCAGCTTTGTACGGCGCAAATTTCGCTACGGACAAAACTGGCTGGACGCAAATTAACATGTCCAACGCACGTAATCAAAGAACATACCACTAGTTGTTGCCGCCGCGCTTCTACCACCCGCATCCGCGGAAAATAAATTACTTGCGTCCGCGGCTTGACATCAAAGCGATCCTTTCGCCGGGGTCACATTCATTTAACCCTCGTACGACGGACGCGGGGGGCCATTTTGACCCAGGGCTGTTCCCCTATTCTTTGCTCGATGACAAGCGAGACCTCGAGCAGATACAAATTTCAATATTTAACTGTGTTAATGTGCAGTCTTTGTTACAAACGCGAAGATGATTTATCTTATCTTTGTAGAAAAATTTTTAGACGTGTATATCGTTACCGAAGTGATCAAAAGAGAACAAGCGCGAAATAACCTGGCAATGGAGGAAGAACGAACCTTGTATGGTCCACGGACACGGGTCAACATGGTCGTCGACCCCCTCCCCTTGTTCCTAACCCCAACAAGGATTATTACGTCCGGTAGCAGCCAAAGGGAGGTAATTATCCACCACCAGCCCTTTATCTGCTGTGCCGCAGACGCGACCGCGCGAACCATTCGCGATATTCGACCCTCTGTTTGGCTTCGTGATCGCAATTCCCACGATGCGAGTCCGCATAATCCGTATGGCCCTCGAAATTATGCGTCGCGCCGAGGGGAAGGAAATTTAAGACGGTCGTTGCGTCTTTTGGGGCCACGGTAGAAATTGCATCTATCGAAACACGAAATTCTCGTCTCCATTCAGCGATCTGCTCGAACACTGTTATCTGAATTACGCCGGACCCTCGATTGTTGCAACCTCGGCGATAGGAACAGCGATGGTATTGCCTGTTGCTGGATAATAGCTATTCAAAGGGCGATTGTGCAAAGTGCAAAGAGAAAAGAAATTATTTCGAACGCTTCTGGTGACTTTACAGCGAAGGGACAGAAGTTCTAGTAAAATGTAAATTATTCGTAAATTTAATGCGCGTGCAAACGCAATAGGCACGCGTAGCAACGACCGTGTTTAGCTAACGTGCCTGACCGAGACCGCGTCTCGTCGTTTGTAAGGCCGGAATACCGAAGGGTTGGCCGGGTAAAGCGGGATCGGATGGTCCAATGGTCGCGTCGGCGTCCATTTGAAGCGCCGTTGAAAAGAGCCAATATTCCGCTTGGCTGCGCTATGCAGAGTTCGATTCATCGGGGAATTCAATTAGCGCCAGTTGCCGGAAACCTCAAGTAATTTGCGCTCAGCCTTCTACCACCCATTGCCTCTTTGTTTCCTATTCGCTCTTCCTCCAACCAGCCTATTCTATCTTCGTTTCGATTCCACGTCTGTTCCCACTTTCTAGCCCCTATTCCACCTGTCCGTATTTGATCTTCCTCCAATCCTCTGCCATCGCGCCACACAGATATCATGCGTCTGTTCATGCGTTTGCCGTGATATTCCATTTTAGTACGAATCCCCGTCGTGTCTGCTCCTTCCTGTATCGCGTGGACACAAAAATCGTTACACTTGTTGTATTTATATTCTACATTGTTTCAAAACGAATTGGAGCCCCAGCGTACGGTTCGCGTTGAGAAACACTGGCCTGGATCGTCGAAATGTCACAACCGTGCGTCGATACCACGCGAAAGGCGGACGATTTACATGCTTCGCATTCTCGAGACTCGATTGTTATTAGGTCGTTGCACCGAAGCGACAGAAGATGTCAAATGGCCGGAGCAATTTGTCCGGAAGTATTTATTACCTGCTGCAGGGAGGAAAGATGGCAAATGGGATACGGAGGAACGGAGAAAAGCGGCAAGATTACATTCATCTCCGTTGAAACGTAACGCAGAAAAGAATTTAATAATCCCGAATGAGTTCCCCCCGCTCGCCAGACGCCAGAATATCATTCCTCGTTGACGCGTGAACTCGAAGAGCACGATACGTGCTCGATAACAGTGAATAGGATGCCATTTTCAAAGCACCAGTATGTTAAAAAACTGTTTTGATTTGCATAGACGTTCGTTTGAAATCTACCAAGAAAAATTGCAGGGTTCTCCTCGACAGCAGTTTCAATTCAGACTGTTACGTATCGAGAAACAAGTAAATTTGATCTCAAATCTTAGGAAAGTGAACCTTGATCGACTATCGTGTCGAGGAGAGATAAACTTTTCAAAGCATTCGAACGGTATTCGAAAAAAGCGTTGAAAAGCGTTGACTCGTAGATCGTGAATGGAGTCGCGTTTGTCGAAACTGGAACAGAGTAGCGAAACAACTATGGCGGCGCGTTCGACTAATTTTCTAGGCGGCTGT